AACAAAGGACGGAGGACGATAAGAGCCGAAATCGGTAAACTCTTAAAACAGTCTTATGTTAACTCATCGTATGCAGTTTTTGTCCGCGATTAACATTAACACGTTTTTAGACTTAAAAAATCCAAATATCAACTATTATACACCGTTCAATAGAGAATTTCATGGGCTGTAACGTGACAATTTTTATCAGCCATCTATCGAGAAAATAAGTCGTTATTCTAAACATGAACGACGTCGGAATTCATTTCCAAGACTAAATCAAGAAGATCGATGGCTGATAAAAATTGTCATGTCCTTAATTTTTTTGATGAAAACGAAGCTTTTTTGAAAGTCAAGTTGTGATGATGACTATGTTGGCCAAATTTTATTCTTTTTCTCTTCGAAATTTCATGACCGACTGATGAGTTTTTGAAGAATATGAAAAGTTGCACTTTTCTCAGATACTCTAGTGTTCAAAATGTTTAGCAATTACATTTAAACTTTTGACATTTAAAAAGTTAAGAGAAAATATTTACTAGGTAGAATATTAGTTGCTTCTAATCAACTTTTAACATTTTTTACAAATGTAACAGAGTTCAGAGTCTCAAACTACATTATTTTTCGAATATTAGACTGCCCAATTACTTTTTCTTGTGACTGTCTTATATACCATTTTGTTCCTGAGCCACTTCCTGAGCCATGGATTCTAATGGGCACCCATAATTCATCGTTATTTCATCTTGTAGACGGAGGACGATAACACCTAAAGTCGGCAAACTCTTAAAACAGACTTTATGTCAACTCATCGTATGCAAGGAGAATTTCATGGACTACAAAATGAAATCTAAGACCATCACAAGAAAATGTAACTGGGTGGTCTACGATCCGAAATACTCGTTACTATCTCAGCAAACCGGTATGCCAACCTCATTCATGTTTGTACCATCCATTTAATTTGCCCCTAACCACTCCACTTTATACACCGTTCGACAGAGAATTTCACAGGCTACAAAATGAACTAGAGCGCATTATTTCAAAAGTTTGCCTTCGTCGACGTATTGGACAAATACGTGACGGATATCTCGATTTTTTTCGTATGGTGGCACATACAAATGATTATAGTTTCTTCTACAGACAGAGAGTTAGCATAGTTTTTATGTAGAAATATGCAGAATTGAAAGGGCTACAGAATGTGGTATAACGTGTTCTTTGAAGTGCTAATTTTCGCAGATTTAGGGATGCGGTAATTTTGACCTATTGCGAAATGGTGAATGAGATACGGTGTTGTACACGAAATGATACCCGAAATGTTTATCATATAGAAAAATATAGAGTTTAACGTACTTCAAATTGAAACGAATCAGTTACTTTTAAAAGTGTGCCGTCAAGCATTTATATAGTGAATAGTATATGCCTGTCGCGATTTGTTTAATTTACCCGGTAGAATATTAGTTGTTTCTAATCAACTTTTAACATTTTTCACAAATGTAATAGAGTTCAGAGTTTCAAACCACGTTATTAAGTGACATAGTACCAAAGTCAGCATCTTAGAGGCTTGTTGACAATTCTTTTTTTATTAGTGGACCAAATAAAATACACATGTCAATCATTGAGATAACTAACTGTACAATTAAATGTAATCTATTTTGCAGATTGAAATGTTAGTATAAACAACGGTATTGCTAAATGTGCACTAAATATAACATGTTCACTATCAAAAATAGTATCGGAATTGGAATTTTCAACATTTAAAATCTGAAAATAATAAACAATTAAATAGTGGTAAACATCTGAGACAAGGAAGTCAGTAGGTTTCTAGTCTCGAGTCAAGTCACTAAAAATAGTGCCAAATCAAATCAGGTCTTATAAATCAAGGATCTACAAAATTTTCCTTCAGTCAAGTCTAGCAGAAAAGTCAATATTTTAGCCAGATTTCCCAGTGCCTTTTGACGTCAAGCAGTTATTTTTCACTCAAAAGAAAACTTTGGAGTAATAAGACGAGGGCAATCTTTGATAGAAAAACGCTTTATGCATTCTTTCATAAATAAATAATACTCGAACAATTTTTTCAGTCATATTAAAGTGAAAAGGCCTAACTTGACTTGAGACTGTAGTCATCCTCTATTTGACTTGCCCAATTCTGATAAAAATAATTAAAATCAACATAGACACCTTTACTGAATCAAAACCAGATTTTCTTGTTAAATTAATTTTATTGGTAGTTGGTTTAATCATCTCATCAATTTTACCCAATGCCACTTTACACATTAAAACTTTTTGTATCTATGAATAGAACAGCATCTTATATAGCAGATCAAATCTAAACTTAGTTTTATGTACAATTTTGGAAAAAACTAATTGGTTCATCCTAATTTTCATTTTTTTCTCGGACATGATAGATACAAACAGCCTGCAAAGTGATTGTGTGAGAAGTTCGAAGGCATCTGGTTTTTTCCCAAGAATGGTTGTTTGATTTTTCCAAGTTATTTGCAAAAAGTTTCTATATTAATCGAATCCAGATATTTTAGTTTCCTAAGATTTGAATTTTGTAGAAGTCTGATGATCAGCAGTTCTGATGTACACTTCACGCGTACATCTTCTTATTAGAAATTCATTTAGCTACTTAGATTATTTTTCGGTCTCTTTGGATCTATCATAGTCGAGAAAAAAAATCGAAATCAAGATGGATCAATATGTTTGATGGAAACTATACCTTGCCAATGTTTTTGACTAGACAATTATTAACATTCGAATTAAAATACAGTCCTTTGCCAAAATTTCCGTATGTAAAATCTAAAATAAACACTTCAGATATATTAGCAATCGCTGTCTATGTTTCTTCCTACCTTCGCTCGTAAAACCGGCATCAGCAATTATTTCTAAATGATCCGAGTGACCATTATAAAATAATAATGTTTCATTTTTCTGTCCTTGTAACGAGGACAGAGTACTCTGGTATAGCGCATTTGATGCTGAATCAACACGAATCTGAGAAATTAATAGTAAATTTAATAAAGTCACGTCAAAAATGATTTGATTTAAAATTTACAAAATCTCTGATATGTTCATCTTTTAGCGGGGGGATATAACTTAACCGAAAGGAATAACAAACATTCGGCAGAACTTTTCTTACCTTTTTTGCATTTATTCGGTAAATATTTGGGTTCGTTAACATAGATAAACAATAGTCAACTGCTACTTGTTGATTGCAATCATCATCCGTCAATAAAGACATCTGACCTTGAAAGAAAACAACAGTACTAATAGAATAAATGTATCTAAATATCATTTAAATCAAGTTCCTATAATATATTTTAAATAGTTCTACGATGATAATCGTAGAAAACAACTTTAAGGGCCCCCCCCGGGTCAAAAATCTATTTTTTTTCCAGAGCACTCAATCTTAGTAAAATTTTTACTGAATATGTATCTGACTTTGGATAGTCTTCAGTAAAAAATTGAGTTC